GTCAAAGCCAGTTTTAGAAGTTGAAAGCCATAATGCTGCTATTAGTAAATTTTGATCTCTGCTGCAGTAAAGAGGGGTGCGCACCCCTGCAGCTTTTCAGAACAGCTCCTCTTGAGACTTTTGGCTTACCAAAGCAGCACTGGAACAGATATGGGAATAAGGGGGCTTGTCTCTGCCTATATTTAGAATGCATTTCTTTCATTTATTTATAAAGTGTACTTCATCGCTTTACTCTGTCAGCTGTGCTTCGACACATTCAGGTCAAGCACACGTAAACCTTTCAGGCCTTACCTGATCTGCCTGTCATCACTGTGGGACAGTACAGGAGCCTATTGGATCGAGCCACAGGATTAAAACTCTATTTAACTCTTATAATTTATATTTTGGCTTCATTAAATGACTGGTTGTTGGGGGGTTATTATGTTTTTATAAAAAGCTCAGTTTGCGTTCATTTCTGTGAGTGAGTTTACTCCTCAGGCAGGGGTCCAGAGCACATCTTGGGCTGCTATGGCAACAAGGCTGGCACCCCTACTGCTGCTTCGTGGCAAGCGCACAAACCCACAGATAGACGCACAAACACACACTAGCACACTGGAACTATAGCCACAAGGCTCTTTCAATGACACGCGGCAGGGAAACTCCGTTTTCTGCCTAATTACTCGGGATTCAGCGCAAAGGGATCGGGAACAACTGGAAGAGGCTTCAGCGTGATATAATGACAACACGCAGTGAGGTTTCTTTAAACACCGTGACAGCCACCAAAACATGTGGCTGTATTTAGGGAAGGAACTGGCCTTTGATATTCTTCAAACACATAAAGGCACCGTTATAAAGCTGCATCTGAAAGTGAAAATCTGCAACATCCAGTTTAGGATTTTGTCTGGATAAAAAAAACAATTAAAAAAAAAGTCCTTTGCTTCTTTTTAACCTTATAAAAAAAAATCCAGTCCGGCATTCACCACTCCAGAAACCAACATGCTTCTGAACGGATGAGTCACTTCCATTACTAATTCAGCATGGCTCATCCCAATACACGATGCGTTGCTATTATCCGTGACAGCTGTGTTAACGCTGTTCACCCTCCTGGCAGCCGTTCCTACTCTGCTAATCTGCAAACCATTCAATTTACCCTCCAGATGTGTCGTGGTTATTAGTCTGTTTATTAGATGATTATGTCAGTAAACTGCCCACATCACTGCTGTTGTTGCTGGTAAAAACACAAGGGAGTAGCACTGAGCGCACATGCTGCTAATGTCTGATTTTTAATGCAATAAAATACACAGAAACGCACCCAAATTAAGCCCTGTTGAAATGGGGTTAATCTGTTGACGTGGATACATGTGAATAAAGCAGATTAAGTAATTGATGATCTGTATGTGTTTGTGCAGCCCTATCTGCACGTTAGTTCCACATTGATACCTTTATTACAGAGTTATACCTTCTGTCAATCACTGTTCAAGCGAACATGACAAAGAAAAAGAGATTAATATGTTTTACTTCCTTGTCTGTACTTTTTTTGAAGTATGAACTTCAGTTCTATTTGCCTCCACTCTGTCATTTGTGCAGCTTTGGTGGCTTTTTTTTCAGTTTTTTATTCCGTGTATTGCAAAATGCCATTGCTGCTCTGGGGACCTTGGAAAGTTTACAGACGGGTCTGAAAGTACAGAGTGACAGAATATGACTAACAATGTGTTAATCTTTCAGTGCTTTCAGACCATAGCGCATATAAGCTCAGTCTTTTATACATATTAATCCTTAAAAATATAGGTATAGCCATGCCCTCAGTTCATTTTTAGTAGCTTCAAGTTGTTTTGTGCAGATATTGAGGAATGAGATGCAAGAATGTGGACCTGAATCTGATGAGATTGACAAAATGAGAGTGCATTTACCCTGAATACATGGGACAAACGTTAAAGGGTCTTAAGAAACCATGGAGAACGTGCTACCTGTAACAACATTCAGCATGACCGGTTTGGTGGTGGGTCAGTAATGATGTGGGGAGGCATATCCATAGAGGGCACACACACCTCTACAAGCCCGGCAGAGGTCACACTGGGGGGCCAAACAAACTCGTGAGTACCATTTTGAGTTTCTACAATGAAAATGGACTAGCCCATCGCTTCATTTTGACACTTTTCAAGCTATCTTTGAGTTCTGTAGGTTGCAAATTTCCATTTCTATCCTTTCATTCCATTCTTAACAGATCACCCCAGTCGATATCAGTATAGTATAAATATAGATCTGTTTCATTGTTTGAGTTCTGATGTGTTTTCATAGTGTTCCTTTCATTGTTTTGAACAGTATATATTGATACTCGTGAAGTCTAGTACAGTTATTGTTCAGCCTGCACTATAATAGCCACCCATCAATCCACCCATTCATTCTCTTCCACTTATCTAATTTAGGAGGGCTGGAGCTTATCCCAGCTGCCATTAGGCGAGAGGCAGGGCTACACCAATGTTTTTGATCTGGGTTTATTTCATTATGCATCAGTAACCATGCAGCTACTCAAGAAATCACTTAAGTTCAGTCCAGCAATTGAAGTAAACTGCTGCAAAGTAAGCAAAGCTATAGCAGTACATAAATCGACTGAAACGTTGAAAGGCTGGGAGATTAAAAGCCCGAGCTCCTCAGCAAGCTGAAGTGTGTGGCACAGCCGAGGAGGTGAGAAGGCGCGAGCTGTCTCGCTCCGTAACACATCAGCTGCACAGCTGATGAGGGATCGCACGTGTGCCCTGCTGTGGTTGATCACAGTTACACACACAGGAAAAAAAAGGTATTTGGCCACACGAGCTGTTGATGCACTAAGGATTTATTTCTCTATCTATGTGAAACAGTTGGAGCACTTCTTGAGCAACTTTCACCAGTCAACCATCTGGCTTAAGGGGCAAGGTAAGTGTTGCTGTTAGCAACTAAAACACATTTAGTGGAAGTTTGATTTACCTGTGTGCCACTACGTTGACACCACTTTCGGAGAAACATGACTTGATTTTTCCTTGGTTTTTTTTGTTATTTAAACCGTAAGGTAAGGAGGGACATGCAGGTCTAAATATTAGGGATAGTTACTGGACCACAGTCTTACAAAGCCAGTATGTGACCTAACTGGCTATATCTACGCTACGTTGTGTCCTTGGGCAAGACACTTCACCCGTTGCCTACTGGTGGTGGTCAGAGGGCCCGGTGGCGCCAGTGTCCGGCAGCCTCGCCTCTGTCAGTGCGCCCCAGGGTGGCTGTGGCTACAATGTAGCTTACCATCACCAGTGTGTGAATGTGTGCGTGAATGGGTGGATGACTGGATATGTAAAGCGCTTTGGGGTCCTTAGGGACTAGTAAAAGCGCTATATAAATACAGGCCATTTACCATTTACCATTTACGCTGAAACAGCCAAGTGCCCCGAGGTGTATCAACTCAACTCAGTGGACAAAAACAGAAATTGCAAAATAATCTAATAGTGCCTGATCGAAATAGGATGACATTTAGATATTTACCAATATTTGGTGATACTTTTTTGTCTTTCAGATACACGAAATTGAAACATATTTCCTTAACATTTGTTATATGTAGGTGTTTATTTACTTATTTGTTTGTTTATGCTCTTCCCAACTCTTCTAGGAGCAGCTGATTGTGTTTGTGGCTTCCAAACCTGTGTTGCCAAAAGGGAAATTGCAAAGTGCCCTCAGGGTGACAAACTATGTTTAAGTTTTAGTTATAAATGTCAATACTGATAGTACAGCAAAAAGTTAATATAGTGGTCGCCCCATGATCGGAAGGCCAGGGGTTCGAATCCACTGAACGGCTACCCTGAGGTACCCCCGAGCAAGGTACTGTCCCAACATACTGCTCCCCGGGTGCTGGATTGGTGGCAGCCCACTGCTTCACTGAGTAAATGGGTTAAATGCAGAGGACTCATTTCCCTAAGGGGATTAATAAAAGTATACATTATAAGGCTTTTTGTCTATTTTTGACCGATAAATTATTACGTTGACCTTGAAGACCTCGGTGGATATGAGTCAAATTTTAATGGATTGTTAACATGACCCCACTCTACACCCCTACAAGTTTTATTAGAATTAATTCTAAACCTTTCGAGGTATTGTGTTTACAAACAGGCTGACACAGGCATCTGCTACCAAAAACATAAGCTATAATGAAACGTTCGCTAAAATGAAAGGAGAAAGAAGGGTATTATTGACTGAAATTGCAAGCTACTAGTTGTGAATTAACAGCTGAGGCATTTATTAAACATAATTGATGAATGTTATTTAAATGCTAAGCATGCACAATAACCTGAACTTTGTTCAGGTTCAGTTTAAAATGAGCTCAAATGACATTATTAGAATGTAGTAAGTTGTACCGACAAATGGTTTCTTGAGTCCATCTGATCAGATTTTGGTACAGGCAGCGAACCCACAACAAGATGCTTAGCTTAGATTTAGCTTTAGTTGACTTTTTGACGTATTTGGGCTAAAATGACATCGTCATCATCCTTCTGCTTTTGAATTCCATTGTAAATGCACATTTGCGTGTGCTCATGTGTCTGCGTGCTTTGCTTGATGCATTTTAGAAAAAATATGTTTGCATGCTCTGATGTAAATAGTCCTTGGTCCTTGCGAGGGTGTTGCGCAAGTTTGTGTGTGTTATCCCACAGAGCCACAGACTGATAATTGGTGATGACTCATCCAGACCTTTGTTTGTTATTTTGCATGCAGCGAAGGAGAAGGAGTGAGTGAAAGAGGCAGAGAATGGAAATTAGAGGTATATTTGGACAGCTTAAGTGAGGGGGGGGGGGTCAGATGGTATGTTGGTGCACGGTGTGTGTGCACGTGTGTTTGTGTGCTGGCCTAAGCGACGTTTTTGCCTCCCACAATCCATGAAAAAGGCGACAGAAGAGCTATTATGTGTAAATCCATGCATAATTGGAATTGCTTTAAACACATCCAATAGGACAAAACAGATATCAGTAAAAATACAGTTTATTTAGTGAAGCTAAAATTCGACATTGACCCATAGACTGTGGGGGACCATTAAAGCTCTCTGAAAAGATTTCTGCACTTTTAAAAGGGGTTCCTCTTTAACACTCATACAGTATGTGGCACTGAGTGGGAGGGTACATCATGTTAGATCTCAAAATAAGGTGTGTTACTCATTACACACATTACAAGTTTCCTAAAGAGATTTACACAAGTGTTCAGAAGGATCAGAGGTCACTAACAAACCAAAACCATTGAACAATATGAATGCAAATTCATGTAAACTCAATTAGATATCCAAGAACAGGAATTCCTCAAAACAAACCATCATAAAAATGTGATCAAATAAAAGGAAACAACACTTGAATGATACAGATCTCTGGTTTTATAAAGACAGCACAAGATAAATAAATGTGGGTTCAATTGTTCTAATACCGAGAACTATTTTTTATACAGGTTCAAACATTTATTCAATAATAAATCAGATACAGAAAGAGTCAAATTGTCTCTGTTATCCTAATTAGAGATTTTTAGATATAGACAAACATTAACTTATTTTTGATTGTTGATCAGAAATAACTAATGGTTGTTATAAGTATACCTTCTGTTTTGACTGAAAAAAATACTGTGGCTGATGCACCAGATGAACCATGGTTTTCTCATACACTCAGTTTTATGATAGTACACAGAAAGATAACTGTATGACTGAATATCCTGAATGATATCCATTACATTAATTTTGTAAAAATAACCTTGAAATGCCTGTAGCAGAGCCATAGACTGAGGTTTTTATTTCTAGTTTAGAGATGGACTGTAATACTGCAGGACATCATGACTTCTTTGTTGTATTTCCCTGGCTACTATCTTTATTTGATTTATATCTCTGTTGCAGAGCCCACTGGCATTGTAGTAACTTCCTTCGTCTTATGGGACCCTTTGTGCAACAGGTAATTTATATGTAAAAAACCTTATGTAGCAGTGCTGGTTATATTGTCTCAGTGATGGTAAAACTTCAGAAATGATTTCTGAATATGATATTAAGCAGACTGATGTGATGTATTTTATTAGAATAAACCTTTATTATCCCATGGATGAGAAATTTGGGTGTTAAACAGCTCTTATAGCAAGGGGAATATAAAATATATAAAAAAATTATTAATCCCTTGAGGAGGACTTTTTTGTAATTAATAAGTGGTCATGAGCAATTCTCATTTCTTTGGACATTGGCTGCTTTTTATTTTTTAGTCCAGTCCTTGTACCTGACCATTACTTCTTGGTTGTAAGTTAAGCTGCTTAACACTGACATATGAATAATTTAAGCATAAAAAAGGCACCTAACTCAAGGGAGTAGTCAGTGTTGTTTCCATACATAACAAACAACTTAGCAAAGAACCAATTTCACATTGTATCGCTAGCACCCTGTCACAAAAACGCATCATTTGTTCCCATTCCTTTAGTCTATGAGGAATGTCAAAGATATCACAGTTTGACAGGCATAAAATAGTATTTGTGCAGAAATATTAATAGTATTAGCTAGAAACTCGGCATATCTCAGCATGGTGTGCAGTATATCCTTAAAGGATTCTTGGAAACTGGACAAGAGGAAGACAAATCAATGGTAACAGGTCTTATGGAGTAGTTAAGACATATGTAAAATGTGCTGCTTCAAATTGTCATCAGCATGCAGAACAGTGAACGTCTACAGCCATCTGTACACAATTGAGGGTCTGTTTTGGTTTGGGGCTGCATTTCTGCCAGTGGAGTTGGGATCTCGTCAACACTGATTGATTTAAGAATTCAGAAAAGTATGATCCGATTTAGATCCACCATGCAGTGCCTTCGGGAAAGCATCTGATTGGCAACAGCTTAAGTTTTCAGCATGACAATGACCCCAAACACACTGCCAATGCAGTGCTCTTAAAGCATATATGGATGGAAAAATACACAGTGAAACACTATCAGTCATGGATTGGCCTCCCCAGAGCCCGGACATCAACATTATTGAAACAGAGCGGGATCATCTTGACAAAGAGCACAATGAAAGGCAGCCAACATCCAAAGAAGATCTTTGAATATCCCTAAAGGAGCCTGGAGAACTATTCCTGAACACAATTTAAAGATATAATAACAAAACATGCCTAAAAGAGTTCAGGCTGTGTGATGAATAATGGTGCTCATACCAAATATAGACTTTCAAGCTCATTAATGCAAATGAGCTTTTTTCATTTATCCAACCTTTTTCATCTTACATATCCCAACAGTCCTGAGGAGTATACTACACAGGATGTTCAACCCAGTCAGGCTTTCTTTGCCTTAGCTGTCCTAACAAAACAAAATAAGTTTTGTGTTCAGCATAAGTAACCATGGTGATTTAGCACAAGTAACCATGGTGATTTATCCAGGTAAAAGTCATGACACAGAATACTCTGACTTTTATCTTAACATCGCTTGCTAACCCATTAATCTCACATTGTAGTTCACCCCTCTGGACTGAAAAAACTCTTCCTTGGTTAAACCCTTCATGTTCAAATTTCTCAATGATTAGTCCAGGACTATTAGATGACTATTTTAATCATTTATCCAGTATTTTCACAGACAATTGACCAATTTCCCCTATTTATTTATATGGCTAGCAATCTTACTTTTATGTTAAGGTAACAATTCAAATTCTTTCAGCCTACTTTTGTATTGATATTTCATTGGATTAATCAATACTGAAAGATGAGAATTTAGTAGCATCAGCAAAATAATTGACAACATTTATGAATTTAGCTAGCTACTGTACAGTATTTCAGCTTGTTATCCATCCTGTTTAGCTCATAACATCATTTCTTTGTGCATGCTGTTGGCTAATAGTTCCAACTATTACTACTCGCTACTACTCACTTAGCGAGTTATCCAGTTTCAATCACTTTTAACCATTTTATCTTTTGTAAACATTTCTACTTATTCGAAGTTTTCCCTTCACTGCCTAAAGTTCCTCAGGTCCACTAATTCTTTTATTTAATGGTAACAGCTGAGCTAGTCTTTTCATATACTCCTTGGCTAACCTACCGCAGATGTGCCCTGGATTAGGAATCACTGTCGTAGATCAACTAATGTCACCCTAATGCAGTAGACCCATTGTGTCTGACTGACAATAGACCTGAACTCTTTCACAGTGCAAGTTGTTCCATTACTCTACAACCTGCTGCTCATAAAAACAGGCTTTCTTGAAACTGCTTGAGTTTCCTCTCTGCACAGTGTAGCCATTAAACTTGTCAGTTTCCTCCAGCACAAGCTGTACATTCATACTGTGTGGAGGGCAATTTACAGAACAGGACAGAACTGTCATCAACCTCTAGTTCAGTGCGATCAGAACCGAGTCTCAGAGCTGCCTCTCTTCAGTGTGCTGCTATTAAACTCATCATGCTCAAAGCTCAGGTTATTATGCGACCTGGATATCATTAGCAGCTTCTCGCGCTTACTATAGTCGCGCCTCTCTGCCACAGACTGTGACACCTCCAAGAGCCGATCTCCTTGTTCTTCTCTGTCCTCCAGCCGCTTGTAGCCTTTGGTGCTGCCCCGACTGCCGCTGTTACTACGGCTGCTGTTGCTGCGGTCAAGTCGGGGCCAGCTGGGGTGCTTCCGCTGCTCTGGGTTTACGCTAAGCATACTCGGTCTGCGCTCCAAGTCCAGAGATTTGGAATGGCTGTTGAGCATGTGCAGAGAGGAGTTGGAGCCAAAGTCACTCTTTGCTGCTCCCGGGGAAAGCCAGCAGCCTGAGGTAGAGGAGGGAGCAGGGGAGAGGGAGGACGAGGATAAGGAGGAGCAGCGGGATGAGGAGGAGGCGGAGTTACTCCTGTGTAGGCCCGGTGGTTTGGAGGCCTTGGCAACGGATGCCACGGGAACCACCAGAGACTCCACAGAGGTCAGAGGCTGCAACCTCTCTCCTTCTCTTCTCTCTCCTCCTCTGTCCTCTTCAGTTATTGCCTCCATCTCCGGCTCATCAATAACACAGTTGTTGAGTTTTATAACAGGGAGTGTAAATGCAGAGATAGAGGAGGAGACAATAGAGCGTGCATGGTGTCCTCCCCTCTCTCCATCTCCATCCGCTGACCACTGGTGACGCATGGAATCCGAATGAACCAGCCCGACCCCGGGGCCACAAAATGGGCGATCCTTATAGAGGGGTGCCAATAGCCCTGCAAAGTTACAATCCATCTTAGCCTGTTCTCTACGTCTGTGATACTCCTCATCCTCTAACAACACCTCCTCCTCTTCTGTAGAACCTCTCCCTCCTCCGGCAATGCTTCCAGCACGAGAGAAAGCTAGGAGAGAGTTGCTGGCTAACCGTGCGGCAGTATCGCAGCTGAAGACTCGAAGATCTCCGACTTCTCTCACACAGGTGCTGTTCCGGTGTTGGTGTTGCTTTTGCTCTTTCTGCCTGAGGCGGTGGATATCGATGACTGTGGAGTACATGTCTCTCATATGGATGATCTACAGCAAATGAAAATCGTATTAGCAGAAGTAGAAGCAGCAGCATTTATTTTAGATTACCTGAAAATATTTGAAGCGTTTCATTAAAACACATTATCTCCCTGTAGTTTTAAATTTGTGCACGTTGCCACCGTGTGGCCTTGGGGGACATGTTTCTCACAAGGATTACCAGTAAAGGGAAGGGAGAAGGAGAGGGATAATTGAATCAAAGGAGAGAAGAAGAGAGCATGGAAACAGAGTGAATTTAATCAGAGGGAAAATTGCAGAGCTAAAGGTGGAAGGAGACTGGGAGAAGTCTGATCTGCATGTTATGGAGATGATGAATATGGATGACTAGAGTGTACATGCCCTTTATTTTGTAGAGAGTGGAGGAGGGACAGAAACAAGAATCAGTGACAGGGAAGAAATATTAACTACAAGTTCTGGCTTTTAAATTTAGAAACATTTGATGGAAATATTGCTAAAGAACCTACTTTTGAAGCAGATTATGCAAAAACTAAAGTTGCATTACCCACAAAAACCTTCCAACTTCTTTGTTTCCCATACAGTGTTTGAGTATTTCGACTGTGCGCATCCTGAAGCGATGATTTCAGCCTTACCTTGGTTTCCCTGTCTCTGTTTTCGTGAAGTATTGCATTAGCACAGATGAAAATAAAAATCCCAATGCCCATGGTGAAGGGCCCAAGCATCTTCATCCTCTCAGAGTGAAGATGCTGTTCTAGGAATCGCATCAGAGCGCTCTCAGTCTCCTTGGAAGGCGTACCTAAAACCACAAAACAGCGAGATGAGCCATGAGAGGAACAAACTTTTGCCAGCAGGTTTCTAGTCACCCTTCTTCACCTTGCCCATTGTGCCTCGCATTGGCTGCATCATTTTCTGTCTTGACTCCAGTTCCTCCTCCAGCGAGTATGGCTTTACTGTGAGGCCAGTAACCTAGCGTCGCCATGCCAATCCCTATGGCCAAGATGATTAGTCCCAGAAGGAGGAAAAACCCAGATGCAGAGTAGAGACGGAGTCTACCTCGCACCACTACGACATCGGTGCGCCTCTTCCTCTTCCTAAATGAAAAAGGATGGCAAGAAAACACAAACGGATTTTTGGAGGTAACAGTTTAACAGCAATGGGTAACAAATACAGCAAATTTTCAGAGACTGCAGAAGCAATTTCACCAACACACATTAGCTTTTGTGACAATATCCTCTTTCCTGCTGCAGAGGCAGCAATTTAAAAGGCTAATTTATAGTTCTGTCTACTGTGTTAAAATGAATGCACATGACAATCACCTAGGAGCGGCCTCGGGCGCGGCGTGTCCCAGGCCCGGCGATGTCGGTGGTACGGGCCGATGCTGAGAGCGAGCAGAGTCCTGGCGCTTTAGCTTGGCCAAGCCTGTTAGCACACCTGCCGCTGCAGTCATTCTTCACCTGCAGACACAAATTAGGAGTTAATGACTTTTAAATTCTACTGCCTAATCAGCATCCACATTACTGGTTTACAGTTTGTTGCTAAGAGATTGTTAGGGCCTTGGTGCATACAATTACAAGATGCTGCTGCTAAAAAAAGATGTATTTGGCATAGGTATGCACAGTATAGTCACAGTGAGGAAAAAACACAACTGTATCAAAACACAGATGCACATGTGTTTCAGCATAGTCACAGTCTCCCAGGTAGTCCTAATATATGATGTGTAAGACACGTAATAGTCAGTAGCACACCGTCTCCCACAGTTGTGCAGATCACAGCTCTGTTTGTGTGATTTAAAGCTGATGTGTCACCTCATGCACTTTTTCAAAGCTGTTTTATTTATTTTTTTGCTAACGGGGAAAGTGTGTCATGACGAAAGCGTGTTTTAGCATCTTTCCAAGTCCCAGAAATACTCTTTAGAGCCTAGCAGTGATACAGATGTAAGCACACCAAGCAGCACAACAGCCTGCTCTGCTCATGTTTTGTTCGGCTGCCTGTTGTCAGTCTTCAGGACGATCATGGGGACAAGTGTGCAAGTGTGCATGCACATGAAGCTGTACATTCAGGCCTGCAGGATGCTTGCAGGATGTAAAGGAAACAAACCCCAAAAGCATACTTGGCTTGTGATTTGAGTCTTGGGTAGTGTGTTTCATTCTGATTCACATCCTGTATTTATTGCTTTTGCATGTTTATTGTTTTTTTCTCCTGTCGTTATTTGCATTTTTTTTAAAAGCTGTTATAGATTTTAATAAAATACATCGCCTCAATTCTGTCATAACATTCGAATGAATCATGGTCTCTGGGCTCACCAGCTGCTCATACATCTATTATTGTTATTAAAGGAAGGGGGCTTAAACAAACACAGGTTTATTTTGAAAGCACTCATTTGGGTCTAAATGACTGTTAATCTGACCTCACATGAACATTAGCATTGTCCTGTTGCGCATGAAGAGGATTACATTGACTGAATTTGTTGCTGAGTGACCTTGGTACTGAATTTAAATGCAAATTTCAGATGAAAATGTGAAAACAGCTCAGCAGTTCAGAGCGAGCCCAGTAAAAATTAGCAGCGAACAACCGCTGGTTTTCTCCTGCTAATTTTATTTGTGATGTTTATAGGGTTTTCTATCAGACTACAGCCCCCAAAGGTAATCAGTAGGTCAATCACCCAGTTTATGTGAAGTGTGATCAAAGTTCTGAGTATCATCCTGCCCTCTCAAGCGCCTCCAGACTGCTTTCAGGAACTCACATCCTCAAACTTGCACAGAGAAAAAAAAAGCATCAACTTGTCTTTCAAACTGACCCATGCTTAGTATGGAGGCCCACTGCTGCTGCTCATAATTAAGTCTCCCTGCAAGACCCAACATTTTCACTAGGGGTGCAACAATACTCGTATCGATATCGAACCGTTCGATACAGTGCTTTCGGTTCGGTACGCATGTGTATCAAACAATACTGGATCTGCGTTCGACTACTCCGCCTAGGCTGCTCTGTCGAGCGCAGATCCACTGAGCGCAGCGCAAGCTAGCAAGACAGAAGCTAAGCTCGTTGCAACATGGCAAATTGAACCTCCCCCACCCTCATTCAGATGTGGCCTTTGGAACTATCTTGGTTTTCATGTGAAGCATGACCCTGATGGTAAGCGCGTCATGGACAAAAGTAAAACAGTATGTCGGATTTGCCACGCAATGCTCAATTGGTGGGAACTAGTGCGTTAGCGCAGTTAGCTTGTTAACGTGTTGACGCCGTCCAGCCCTACGCACGGGGCGATCCGCGGTAACTTGTTAACGGAAATTTGCCGCGTTATGGGGTTAATGTCATTTTAACGAGATTAACGCTGACAGCACTAGTGGGAACACAATGAATATGACTGCACATTTACGCCGACATCATCGTAGTGCAAAGACAAAAACAACAAGCACACATGCTACAAACTTTACCCGAGTCATTTAGACAGCCGTTAGCACATGATTCTCCTTATGGGGACCTGATATGTTTAATATGCTGCTGAGAATATACCCCAGAAGAAGCGTATAGTGTAGCTTTTATTTTGGAAAGAGCCCTTTCTCTGTAATAAACTCTCTTTTCCAAAGATGAGTGATTTCTCGATCAGATAGATTTATTATTTTGTTGTTTACATTAAATTTAAAAACTGTACTTTTGAGTTAAAATATATATTTATAATTTTAATAAATGACAAATTAAAAAGGCATGAACATTTTTTTGTATTGAAAAAATATTGAACCGTGACACCAAAGTATCGAACCGAGCCGTGAATTTTGTGTATCGTTGCACCCCTAGTTTTCACCACTTTTTACTTGAAGAGGACAGATAGTCCACGCCTGAAGGAAGCACATAAGGTCAAGAGCAGGATCAGGAGCATACTCGCCTTTCCCACAAGGTTGTGCGATGTGAATTTGTGAAGCTATTAATGCAGAGCTCTGCTGTAACATCCTGATGTTTGAAGAACAACATCCAGAACCTGTGTTACTGTTCATGCCATAATGTGTCGGCACTTAAAACAGAAAGAAAAAAAGAACCTGCTTTTTGCTTCTTTGGCCACACAGGTTTGACTCCTCGCTTCTCCACGACAACGTAACAAAGTTGTACTCCAGTTGAGTGATCTAAAACTAGCAGCTGTGCTGGAAGTATGCGACGGTCCATGAGAAGATAATCCCAAACAGGGCTTTTTAAAAATAATACATTTGACTTGTATGTGCTGTTAACCCACCTGAGCACAAAAACAGCCATACAATGATGAATTTTGGCAGCAACTGGACATTCCAATATTTCACAAGTTCATTGTCTCCAATATTGAATAAGACTGTAGGTTTTTTTTGAACAGTTTCTACACAGTTTTTCAGTTAACAATTCATGGAAAAAATAAACAAAAATGGTTAAATCTATTTTTCTTGTTTTGTTTTGTTGTCTTTGAACCTTAGCTGGGTTCTCACATGCTGCATCACATACTTATTTTTCCTGACTCTTATGTACTCCGTTTACATCGCTGAGTCCTCACTTTGGGTTTTGGACCTTCCCCCAGTTAGCTGCATTTTGGTTTTCTCTTTTTCTGGAACCTTTAAACAGGAGAAACAACAGCTGTGATACTGATGAATGATGATCTTAACGTTGTGCAACACAATCATTTAAAGCTACGGTAGATTATCTTATGGTGTAGAGGTTAACACATTTGATTGGCAGGCATATGGCTCTTTGTTCAATTCCAGCTAGACACACACAAATCCCCTTAAGGGATGGTTCAGGAAGCTAGCTGCTGTGGTGACCCTTTGCAGCAAGGGAGCAGTCAAAAGTAGCTTTAGTAATATAAACTTTCATTTCACAAACAAGCTTACCAGCAAATAACTTGAGGCCACATGTCTAGTGTAAACGTATAAAGCACTGAGTAGATTGTACTAATAACGGTGCACTTGAAACACTTCTACCCCCAAAGGCAGGGAGTATGCAATCAGTTCCATTTGCCTGTTTGTCAGCAGTCTAGTGTCCACAGTTTTCAAGATATAATTTTCCAATTTTGTGTGATGATAGACCAATAACAGCTCCAGCTGACGTCACCGTATTATAATAAGACAAATGTCATGAAATGTCAGTTTTAGCATGGCCCTCTCTCTCTGCTTTCTGAGTGCTATCAGACATGCTCGCTTATGTATTTATTAATTCATGATCACAGGCATATTCAGAAGAATATAAAGAATACTTTAATGACCCATTGCCTGACTTAGAACAAATGTGATGTCATTCTTTCTGTATTACTTACTTTTATGTACCATAGGCACATGTTCTGTGTAGTCATGTGTTACAAAGTTATTTGGTTCCCAGGTTTGGGCATGTGCACATGTCTGTATATATAAAGGATCACACAGATTTAGCATGGGAATGATAATACACCAATGACCTTCCCTTTTCTTTTTTTTGCTTCCACGTGTCCATCCTGTCTTCCTTTTTCTTCCAAGAAGGCACAATCTGTAAATCTCCCCCTCTCGCTTCCATTCTCACCCGCTGTCTGTGTGCTAATACATTCTGGTTGTGACCCTGAATAATGTTTGCTTTCTCCTACTTTCATTCTTTCTCCACCCCAGCTTACTTTCTCATCTTATCGCTCTCTTTGTTTGTCTCTCTCTTCCCTCCCACCCTCTGTCCTCGTCGATCTATTTTTAATCTGTATCTAATTTTAATTGAATTTTATTCGGTCACTTTCCTGTTTTGCTCTATCCCTCCCTCCCTCCTTTCCTTCCTTCCTTTCTTTTCTTCTGCATATCTGAAAGCAATGAAGTCAGATTTAATATTCAAAATCAGACAAAGCTTTTAGTATTCAAAGTAACTGTGAATCACACACAAGACCAGACGTTCTCTCCTCCTACCCTCTTTTCTCCTTCTCACATTTTAATGTATTTTTCATGTCAATCATCTTATTGGTTGAAAAAAAACTGCTGTAAGAGAGCGCTCTCCACCACAGATGGTGAATCACACAAGGACAAACACAACCAGCCACTTTTCTCAGGTTTTCTGTGCTCCCCCTCACTCTGCCTCTCTCCCACCCTGATTCTCTCCCCTTCGCTCCTCGGTGTGCGTCAAACAGGAACCCACACAAATGTTTCAAGAGCAACGGGAGAGATTTCCTCGGTTTACCGAACCAGGAGGAAAAAGGATGGACGGCGGTGGCAAAGAAGAAGGGTAGCGAGAGTTGGAGTTAGGAGTAGAAAGTAGAGGATAGATGACAAAAGGAATGCAAGAACAGAAAAAGAATGAGGATGGAGTATATTTATTTACATCAGTTCATGTAAGGTGCAACACTGAGTCATGCTTTCACCACAGAGGGACAAAAAAAGGGAACAACTGTTCTGGGACAAAGTGGGGGTGATGAGTGATCGAAAGAGCATTAAAAAAAAAAGCCTGACGAAAACAAGAGGAGGGTAAAAATGCTTTTCCTGACAGCCGTGAA